GAGTCCGTTTTCTTCTCCAGTTCTGTTAGCCAAAAAGAAAGACGGCACGTGGAGGTTCTGTACTGACTACCGAGCTCTGAACGTTGCGACCATCAAGGACCGATTTCCTATCCCGAGCGTTTATGACATACTCGATGAGTTAGCCGGGTCACGCTATTTCTCTAAGCTCGATCTGAGAGCTGGTTACCATCAGATTCGACTCCACAAAGCTGACATTCCAAAGACAGCATTTCGTACACACCAGGGGCACTATGAGTATCTTGTTATGCCATTCGGATTATGCAACGCCCCATCCACTTTCCAGTTCGCCATGAATTCTATCTTCAAGGAGTATCTGCGTAAGTTCGTTCTGCTATTCTTTGATGATATCCTGATCTATTCGAAGTCATGGGGCGAATATCTTGGGCATTTGAGAGTAGTGCTCGAAATTCTGGAGGCCAACTCATTCCACATAAAGCCATCGAAATGTTCTTTTGGGCAGATGATGGTTGAGTATTTGGGGCACTTCATATCACACGAGGGCGTGAAGGTCGATCCACGAAAGATTGAGGCTATGGTCGATTGGCCTAAGCCAACAAGTCTCACGCAGTTGAGAGGATTCCTAGGACTCACGGGCTACTACCGAAAGTTCGTGAAGGATTATGGAACCATCGCCAAGCCATTGACAGAGATGACTAAGAAAGGCGGGTTCACATGGACCGAAGCTAGCGAGGAGGCGTTTGAGAAACTGAAAGAAGCCATGACTACAACGCCAGTACTCGCCATGCCCATGTTTGATGTCTTGTTCAAGGTACACACCGATGCGAGTGACATTGGAATTGGAGCTGTGCTAGTGCAAGAGGGACGACCCCTAGCCTATCTCAGCAAGGCACTAGGTACTACCCGGTTGGGTCTATCGGTGTACGTGAAGGAGATGCTAGCAGTTGTCGAGGCTGTAAGGTGCTGGAGGCCTTATCTGTTGGGCCGACGTTTTCAGATTGTTACCGACCAATAACCGCTTAAGCATCTATTCGAGCAAAGGATTATTACCCCCGAGCAGCAGAAGTTCGTATCTAAGCTTATGGGGTTTGACTTCGAGATAATCTATCGACTGGGTCGACAAGATGCAGTAGCCGACGCACTATCCCGACGAACAGATGTAGCTGAGTTGAGTGCTATCACTGGGCCTACTTGGACCATTTGGGAAAAGATCAGGAAGGCGCAAGTAGAGGACACCCATTGCCAGGAGCTGCGCCAATCGATAGAAGCAGGTAAGACAACTGCTATTGACTACGAGTTGCATAATGGTCTACTTCTACACCGAGGACGAGTCTATGTTCCCGACAGTGGGCAGTTACGCGAGCAGATCATGCAGCACTTCCATGACTCTAAGGTTGGAGGCCACTCGGGTATCTATCGCACGTGGATGAGAATAGCCAACACTTTCTTCTGGCCCGGACAACAGAGTACCGTCCGAGACTACATAGCACGATGCGATGATTTCCAGTGCACTAAGTCTGACTCACGACGATCGAGTGGGCTATTGCAACCGCTACCAGTACCCGAGGCAATCTGGGAGGACATTACTATGGATTTCATCGAGGGGTTACCGAATTCTAATGGATTTGACGGTGTTATGGTTGTGGTGGATCGTCTCACGAAGTATGCTCACTTCATACCCATTACCCACCCTTACAACGCAAAGTCAATTGCTAGGTTATTTGTGGAGTATGTAATAAAACTGCATGGAGCACCACGATCCATCGTCTCTGATCGAGACCGGATTTTTATGAGCAGCTTTTGGTCTGAATTCTTCAAGTTGCAAGGGACTAAATTATCTATGAGCTCAGCCTACCACCCACTGACAGACGGACAAACTGAGGTAACCAACCGAACCCTTGAGCAGTATTTGAGGTGCTACGTCCATCAATTCCCTAAGCGGTGGGAAAACTTTTTACCCTGGGCTGAGTATTGGTACAACACCACTTACCACGAGTCGACCAAGATGACGCCATTTGAGTTGGTATACAGGCGAAAACCCCCAACGTTGATCAATTATTCGGAGGGGAGTACGGTCAACGATAAGGTTGGTCGAGAACTAGAGGAACGAGATTTGATGTTACGTGAGCTGAAGAAAAATCTCGAAGGCTCAATTAACCGAATCAAAGCCTTCGCAGATGGGAAAAGGCGTGAGGAAAATTTTGCACCAGGTGAATATGTCTACCTAAAGCTACGACCATTCAGACAGCGCACAACAGCACAAAGAGCCGCCACTAAATTAGGCGTTAGCTATAACGGGCCTTATCAGATTCTGAAGCGCATTGGTCAGGTAGCATATCGCCTAGAGTTACCCGAAAGTTCGCAAATTCACCCAGTTATCCATGTCTCACAACTCAAGAGAAGTTTGGGAGAAGCACAAAAGTATTGTGAGGAGTTACCTGCCACCGCAACCGATAGTAGGGTCATCGTTCAACCAAAACAAGCGATTGAGTACCGTAAGGTAAAGAGAGCAGGACGCTATCGTTGGGAAGTACTAGTTGACTGGGAAGAATTGCCATCTGAAGAAGCCACG